GGGAGGGAGGGAAGGAGGGAGGGGCGGGACCAGCGCGCTACGTCACGGCGGGTCGCGCGCCCCGCCCCGCCCCTACCGGCGGTCTTAAAGCGACAGGGGCCCGCTTTGTCTCCTCCCCACCCGGGGAAGGGGCCGCGCTGGCAGCGGGCGCGTCTCCCGCCTCGCAGAATCGTTACGGGTGGAAAAGACCTTCGAGGTCCTCGAAGCAGCCCGTCAGCACCGTACCTGCTAAACCGTGTCCCTAAGCACCTCATCCATGCACTTCTTGACCGCGGCCAGGCACGGCAACGCCACCATCCCCATGGGCAGCCTCTCCCTAAGCTTCACTGCTCCCTCTAGGCTGACGTTTTCCCTCCTAGCTAAGCTCAACCTCCCCTGGCGCTACCTGAGGCCGTTCCTTCTTCTCCTATATGTAGTTACCCTGCACAAGAGGCTGACCCTGGTCCCGCTACAGCCTCATTCCAGGCAGTTGGAGAGTGCAATGAGGTTTCCCCTGGACCTGCTCTTCTCCACACCAAACCACCCAGCTCCTTCATCTGCTCCTCAACAGCTCTCTGCTCCAGCCCCTGCACCAGCCTCATTCCCCTCTCTGGACAYGCTCCAGCTTCTCCAGAGCTTTCCAGAGCCTAAAGATGAACCCCGTCATGGAGGTGCTGAGTTCAGCAGGACCATCACTTCCCTGGTCCCGCTGTACTCGGCCCAAACCCCACGGCCTCGTCCTGCTGGCGCGTTGTCCCAGCTAGGAAAAGACGGGCTCGATGGAGCCATCCCAGCCCTCGCTGGATCGCGCTGCCCCCATTGCTGCTGGAACCGGCCYGCTGTGGGCGCGCGTGGCAGGAGCAAAGTCTGTGGCTATTCAAGACTTATCTCCGCCTGTCGCCCGTCTCGGATGTTAATGGCAGAGGTAATCATGCACGGCAGAAAGTAAAGAAAGCCCTGGTGTATTCAATAGGGCTGCCTCAAAATTTTCCATCGGGCCTGCTTTTAGAGAGAATATAGGTTCTTCTTTTTCCCCTCCAAACTATATATATATATATATATTTTTTTCTCTCTCTCTCCCACCGAATATAGAGACTCTCAAAGAAACACTTCCAAGCAGTTCTCCCCAAAACAGCCCCCTTGGGCTCTGGTCTCTGCGCTCCTGAGGAGACACAGCTGCGCTGCCTGGTGTCCCCTTAGCCAGGCATAACATTTTATTTATTACATGACATTTCCCTCTCCTAACCAGCTCCACTATCAGGAAATGGAACTACAGATCCTTTTCTGCCTCCTCCTTTAGCTGTGGAGGGCACTTGCTCTGGCASATGGTCGCTGTGCATCTGCAAGCAGAGGTGCTGCCTGAGCGTTGTCATCCCTTCATCTCAGCTGTTTTGCCTGAAGGAATCAGTTTGCTCTTGGAAAACAAGAAATAGGGTCTGGTTTATAAAGCATGGCTCCAGGAACGGGAAATCTCACCATAGGAGGGGAATGCTACACATGCGGCTCATCCAGCTCCCAGAAGTGGAACTTGTCACTGTAAACTGGCCTTCGAATGCCACCAGCACCTTATGCAAATCCGAGATGAAAACTTCTCTTCAATCCTTTTGGCTTTGTTCTCATCATCTATTTTTAATATGCTTCTTCCTCTTCTCCTTCCTCCTTCCTGAGAGCCACATTCATGAGAGATGACAAACTGCGAGCTAACTCCTCTGCTTAGCAACAGAAGAGATCTAGGCACTGGGGCTTTGAAAATGCAAATCCTGTATCACTATCAGGTTTTAGGGTTTCTGCCCCATAAACAGGCAAAGGAAGGGGAGAGGAGGTGGGATAGCCAGATCCCCTTCAGGCTATTCAGTTTTGGGGGCAGAATGCTCTCATATGATATTCTGCAGAGCATTATCCAAGCTATTTCTTGAGTGACTCAAAGGATGAGGCACCTGCTCCTTCCTCTAGGAAACCAGACGATACTCAGCTAAAAGATGACACCATCTTCTCTACTGATGCCTCTTCTCTGCTCCTCTGCTCCGAGTTACCAGCAGGGATCCTGGTGACTCTTGCCTATGCCCAGCCTTGATTTAAACACTGTCTCTGTGCCCCTTGGCATGTCAGATGGATGCTGCTGTGATGGAGGAGATCTGGAGGAGGTGGAAGCTCTGCTCAGCTCCCCTACAAATCACCAACAGCCTCCCCGAGACTCAGTTACTCCTGTGTAACTCAAACCTCCAACAGCTTTTCCTGCAGCTGTAAACAAAAACACAGAAAACAGACTGGGGCATCCTAAGGTCTGTGTCATCCACCCTCATGCCCCAAGGCAAGGTAAATTTGCCCTAAGTGACCCAGACATATGTTTCTAACCAGTTCTTTAATGTGCCCAACACATTCATCCAGACTGCCCGTGTTGGAGATTTGCTTGCTACCAGCACAGCACTTCTCTGAGCTCAGCTCCCCTCTCTGACAGAGATCTTTCCTTATTGCCACTTTGAGGTGTCCCCATCCCAAATTGTTCCCTGTTACTTCTTGTCCAGGCACTATGGGGATGAGGAAAATAGGATAGAAGGAACATTTTTCCCCTTTCTCAGGAGGTGCACTCTCTTTCCTGGAGGGCAATTTCCCAGACTGGGTGCAAATCTCCAGGCAAGACCACGCCAGGATTTGCCGACTAGTGCAAACACTCCTGCTGCTGTACCGGGCCACCAGTGAGCAAGAGCTCATTGTGGGGCTTTGTGGACCAGTTTGGCAGTCAAGAGTGACAGAGGAATCTGGAGATTTCTTCTTTTATTTACACTACATAGCTCGTTCCCAGACCAGAGGGCAGAAAAACACCGCTGCAGTGAATCTCAGCCCTGGCACTAATGCCCTGTTGCCAAGGAGAGATTTCCCCAATACCTCCACTGATTGTTTGCTTTAGGAAATCAAAGTGTCATTCTCTGCTCTTCTTGCCATAACACTGTATTGGCATCCACGTAGGTTACTGTGTTTGAGGACCAGAACATACCAGTTCTCAGGACAAACAACTGTGAATCTTTTGAGAACACGTATCTATCTGCAGTTTACTTTTTGCCTCAGTTTCCCCTAGAAATGGGAAAAGCAGATGCTCAGGTAGAACTCTCCACAGAGATGAAAAGATGCTTATGAGACTCAGTTGGCAGCACCTGGTTTAACACGTGCAACAAGGTAGCCACCAGCACAAAAATTTTTAGAATTCAAAATAATGTAGATCAAGCTGAAGAAAAAAAATGAAGCGAAAAAATCTTTAGTTCTTTTTAACTTATTTTGATTTGCCTTTTTTTCTTTCCTACTTTTTAAAATTTGGATGGAATAAAGTTACTTCACCCCACCCCCCTCCCAATCCCAGTTTGCTCTTTTAAAATGGATGGAGTCCATCGCGGGGGCTTGATAAAAGAGTGCCATGAAAATGCCTGCTGCTGCTCCCATTCAGCTGATGAATAAATTATAAGCGCATTACAATGCTATTTCAGCTGTGATTCCAGGGCTCGGGGAGGGTRATGACTGTGACCTTATGCCTGTCAGACAGTGGTTTGCATTTCCAAAGAGTTTGTGTAACTCGCTGTTCGGGTCAGCTTACACCTCCTGTTCTGGGCTCAGCATACTGCGAGCACCAAGCGAATCTGCTGTGCCTGGCGCTTCACCCTCTGGGGAGGTGTTGGTGCTGCAGGACCATCTCAGCCTCCGGAGCAGGCAGCCGTCACGCAGGACGCCCAGCTGTCCCCCTCTGTGGGGATAAGCAGCCGGGACTAGGCAGGAACCCGAGGACCAGCTGCCTGGGGCATTCCTGGGTCTCTCACATCCCAGTTTTGCCTTCAGACCCGCAATGTTCCCATCGCCAGCGTGAGAGCATGGCAAAGCAMCCCTGTGAAAAGGGCTTGTAAGGCAGTGCAAGGGAAAGCGTGTATGTGTGGGAAATTAGGGAGGGATATGAGCAGGCTCAGCTGCCTGCGAGGGAAACTGCATCAGGATCCAGCTCTGGYCTCCTCTCTTTTTAAAGGCCACGGGGGCTCTTTGAAGAGCTCACGGCCTCTGCCTGGGGATTGAAGTTTTGCTGCCTGGAGAGCTCGAACCAGGCGGCAGCTGCAGAAGCCGGAGGTGAGAAGGAGAGGTGTGAAGGCACGGAGGAAAAGGAGCAAGATGTGWCAGAGACACGGCATGAGTCAGGGATAAACGTTCCCCTTGATCTCCCATCAGAGCATCCTGTCGCAAGCAGGGCCTTCCAGCAAGCGAGGCTGAGCTGGTTGCGAGCAGAGGGCACGTTTCTTCCTTAAGCCTCCCTGCCTGTCTGAACCTTTGCCTAGCTCTGGACACTGATAGCAAAGTGAGTCAGTAGAGCTGGGCCTTGCTGGGCCATGGCTGAACCTGGCCTTTTCATAGCAGCTCTCACAGTAAACATGAACAAATGCAGGGAAAACATGAACAGTTTTCCCTGTTTACTTTTTCAGTAAACATGAACRAATTCACACTAAACTGCAGTGTGAGCACCAAAACCCACGTACRGTCAGTCGCAGGGTCTCCTAGAAATCCCATCCCCAGCTTCCTAATAATAAGATGTTGTTCTAAAAAATGTTTGCAGGGCCCCTGTAATGGATGCAATGTCTCGCTCATCCATATGCATGTGTAAGCTGTGAGATTTGAAAAACACACAGTGGTGATTGTGAAGCCCCATATGAAGCAATGGGCTGGACTGGGCCTGCAAACAGCTCTGTGCATCCATGTGTGGCTAGGAGGA